GCAACACCTTATTCTGAGATTATGTCCTCTGGTCTTAGACTCCCCATAGGGGAAACAATCTTTCTACCCTGTCAAGGCCTTTAAGAATCTTGTATGTTTCAATAAGGTTGCCTCTCATTCTTCCACATTCCAGTAGGTACAGGCCTAATCTACTCAACCTGTCCTCATAAGGTAGTCCCTCCATACCTGGCATTAACTTAGTGAACCTGCTCTATACTACCTCCAAGACAAGGATAACTTTCCTTAGATAAGAGGCCCAAAACTGTTCAAAGTGTTCCATTTGCGGTCTGACTAGTGCCTTGTGTAGTTTAAGCAAAACGTCCCTACTTTTCTATTCCATTCCTTTGACGTAAAAGCTAACATTCCATCTGCCTTCCCCATTACCCACTGAACTTGGATAATAACCTTTTGTGATTTATGGATGAGGATTCCCAAATCCTTCTGTTTCTGTCATCTTCCTTCCATTTAAATAATATTCACCTCCTCTATTCTTCCTGCCAGAGTTTCTTAACATTAAATTCCATCTGCCAAGTTTTTGCTTACTCACTCAATGTATCTATATCACTGCACATACTTTTTGCATCAACCCCACCACTTTTCTTCCCACCTATTTTTGTACCATCTGCAAACTTGGCTATCATCCATTCACATTCTTCGTCCAAGTCATTGATATATATTGCAAATAATTGTGGTCCCAGCACTTATCCCTGTGGCAGTTCATGAGTTACAGGTTGACTTTCCTGAAAATACCTCCCTTATCCCAACTTTCAGTTTTCTATTAGTTAGCCAATCCTCTATTGCTGCTTATATACTATCTCTGAAACTAAAGCCTCATGGGCTGTTATCTTATTAAGTAGCCTAATGTGTGGTACTTTAACAAATGACTTCTGAAATTCCAAATATATTACATCCACTGCTTCGCCTTTATGTATCTTGCTTGTTACCTCCTCAAAGCATTCTAATAAATTTGTCAGGCACGATTTCCCCTTCATGAAGCCGTACTGACTCAGCTTGGTCATATTATGCATTTCTAAATGGTCTACTATTGCATCCTGTATAATAGACTCTAACATTTTCCAGTAACAGACATTTAGCTGGTCATCGGACTGAAAACCATTAACTCTGATTTTCTGTCTACTCATGCTGCCACACCTGTTTCGTCTCCACAGCACTCTCTATTTTTGCCTTTAATTATACTGTCTCCCACCACAAGTGCATTCTGATTTCCTTCCACCACATGAATAGCTCCCTGTACCAAGATGCAGTGGTCAATTTGCGCATCCTCCTTTCAGTTCCCATGCTCTTCTGCATAGCTTGCAAGAACCCCATAACTGTTGGATGATTGCAGGAGATGAGGCTTCCCCCAACTGGATCTCATACCTCACTCACCTGCAGTCTGTTCTATGCTTTAGCGGTGATAATATACCTGGTGCATATTAGAAGAAGCTGGCTACAATTTGACTTTGTGCTGAAGACCATTTTCTTTCCCTTTGTCCTTCAAGTATTTTCCCCAAGTCAATACTGTTCTCTGAGTCCCTCTGTTGCCAGACTCACATGTTGTGCTGCTGAAAGTAGACTGCTGTTTTCTCACTTATTTGGGTACTGATACATCAGCTCCCATCTGTTTCAAACATCTTCCACTCACCGAGTAAATTCTCCTCAATCAGCGTGAAGGAGCTTGAAGCACCCAGTCCCCTTGTCTGTACCAGCAATCATTCTACAACTTTTCATTTTATGCATCAATGATCTAGATGAAGGAAATGAGGGCATTCTGGCTAGGTTTGCAGATGATACAAAGGTAGGTGGAGGGACATGTAGTATTGAGGAGGCAAGGACGCTGCAGAAGGATTTAGACAAGTTAGGAGAGTGGGCAAAGAAGTGGCAGGTGGAATACAACATGGGAAAGTGTGAGGTCATGCACTTTGGTAGTAAGAATAGAAGCATGGACTATTTGTTAAATGGGGAGAAAATTCAGAAATCTGAAGTGCAAAGAGACTTGGGAGTTCTAATGCATGATTCTCTTAAGGTAAACTTGCAGGTTGAGTCGGTAGTTAGGAAGGCAAATATAATGTTGGCATTTATTTAGAGACAACTACAATATAAAAGCAGAGATGTACTACTGAGGCTTTATAAAGCTCTGGTCAGACACATTTACAGTATTGTAAGGAATTTTGGGTCCCATATCTCAGGAAGGGCCCTGGAGCAGGTCCAGAGGAGGTTCACGAGAATGATTCTACGAATGAAAGGCTTAACATATGAGGAACGTTTGAGGACTCTGGTTCTATACTCGATGGAGTTTAGAAGGTGAGGGGGAATCTAATTGAAACTTTTGGAATACTGAACAGCCTGGACAGAGTGAACGTTGGGAAGATGTTTCCATTGGTAGGAGAGCCTAGGACCAGAGGGCACAGCCTTAGAGTAAAGGGAAGACCTTTTAGATCGGAGATGAGGAGAAACTTTTTCAGCCAGAGAGTGGTGAATCTATGGAATTCACTGCCACAAAAAGTGATGGAGGCCAGGTCATTGAGTATATTTAAGACAGAGATAGATAGGTTCTTGATTATCAAGGGGATCAAGGGTTATGGGGAGGAAGCAGCAGAATTGGGTTGGGAAACTTATCAGCCATGATTAAATGGCAGAGCAGACTTGATGGGCCAAATGGCCTAATATCTGGTCCTATGCCTTATGGTGGTATGGTCTTATGCACCTTCCTCCTGATGATGAACCTGATATGGAATCGAGTTTCTCCACATGAGGACCTCATCTTGTGATTGCTACAATCTGCCAGAACCTTCTTGCTTATTCACAGCCTAGGCAAATGCTGCAAATGCCAAGAGTCAGTGGTGGTATCTGCATATGCACAGGCAGACATCTGTGTAGTGATCATTTTGGCGTTCATAGCACACAACCAAATATGTCATCCAGACATTCAACCTCGGGTGAGGTAATGGCAGAGTTGGTCATTTTCTACCTGTCCCTGCTTCATGATTTGCTGGGGTCGTTACCTCTGCTTACCTAATTGGTCGGTCACTGTGTGATTTCCCTTTATCATGGTAAAATATGAACGATCCATTTTCAACATCCAATATCTAATTTTAATATCTGGGATCTTCATGGAATGTAATGGGTTTTAAAAATGATGAAAACACAGATGGCAACAGTGGTTACCTGACCAGGTTGAGTTGAGCTCATGAAACTAAAGTGAGTTAAGCACAGACAGTCTGAATCAAAATTGACAATTTATCCAAAGGCACTGAAACTCATTCAGGCATGAAGAAACCATTCTCTCCTATTTTCTGTTTACATCTTTCTGGAAGTTACACTTATTGGGTGGAAGACACATGCAGATTATTCAGCTCAAAATGAATATGATACCAGACACAGGAATACATAAATGAACTGTTTATCACAAACAGATTTTGGGCAGAGGGAGAAGGAAAATTGATTTGTAACAGCAAGGCCTGGAAGATTATCTCTCTCTCTCTCTCTCTCTATCTCTCTATTTCTTCATCTCAAAATATGCACCTGTGATAAAGCAAATTGGAGAAAGACCCATTTACTGATAACTCAAGGTTTCTACAATTTTCACTATTGCCAAGAATATCAAGCAAACTGCCCAGGTCTCAATTTCAGTTGTAACAACTCAAGGACTCTAAGATCTTTTTAAACTGCATATTCTTTACTGTCTTATTGGAAGAAACCTTCATCCCTTTTAAAACTTTCTCCCTATATTTGCATGTGTTCAGTGTTGAATTTTATTATGTTTTTGTCAGGATTTGTATACATAGAATTCCCTGTTCTTTCACTCAAGAAAACCTTGTCATTGGTTCCTTAATTTTGAATGGTACTACTTTTAATTGAAGTGTGATATAGCTGTATGCTAAAATGAAGTAAAATATTTGATGCACCTGACCATGGGAGTTAAAAAGAGGGGCCAATTCAACCTATTTCACCTGGTCATAAAACCATCTACAGCTGCTCCACCTTGGAGCAGAAGACCCTTGATGTGAGAACATTCTTCCCCACATCTTTTTCTCAAACTTATGGTTTGAGAGTAGTTTCCATTAACCAATATGAGTTCCTTATAAATGCTGCTAACTATGAGTTTGCACATCCTTTTACCAATTGATTAACCTCATTTGACAAAAAAAACACTTTCTAATGAGTAATTGGGATGTTCACCACATTCTACTGTCATCCCAGAAGGCAGAAAGTATCAGTGGAACACAATGTTGTGGTCATAATACCATCTGGCTGTATTTACTGTTAAAATATTTAAGAAATAAAGTCAAAACTGGCCATAGCCTGATGTTTTGATTGGATGTGTATGCCTTACCTATTTTAACAGCATAACATAGTTCACCCTAAAAAATATTTTCTGTGATCCACAATCCAATCCTGTGTATGATGAGAGCGCATTCAATAATCTTGATGTTAAGATTAATATTTTCATTGCATCTGGTGAAGAAATCTAGTGGGAGGACAACTAGTTCTATATTAGTGTGATAAAAAGAAAACTGACACTGAATTACTATAGTATACAATTGAGGTCCTTTACCTAGCGCAGAGTGTATGACCTGATGTCATTAGCATGATAGCACCAGTCGACTTAATTTTATTGGACGGTTCCAGCTGGAACCCTAGAGATGCAAAGTGCTGTATTTGCTTTATTAAATTGATCCCCAGCAATATTGTTCCAAAGTTTTGCATACATCTTTAATGCAGCAGTGGCAGTTCATCAATATAGTGGATCCATGTCGCTGTTCTATGGTTTAACAATTCTAAGAAAGTCAATGGGTCAGGTATCCCTACACTTGCACCAGTTCAATTGCTATTGAAATAATGACATAGATTTAACAACAAAGACTAACAATTCATAATTGCTCTGCCAATTGCTTCTCCTTGTGTATCTGGAAGCGAAAAATATGAATATGTTGCTAGCTGTTCAGGGAGCTTTTGCTGATCCTGATGCATGGGAATAACATTGATTTATTTTGCAGTTATTGCTTGCATTTGGAAGCTATGATTCTTAAGGACGAATTTGAACCACAAATAAAATCGCTTATGACATCTGTTTGTACAATGATAAAGGCTGCACATGGTAAGATCCTAAAACAAAATTAGTGGATGTGTTTCTGTGAATGTGAACACAAAGGCAGCTACGTTTAGATCATAAACAAAATTTATCATGTTATTTGCTAAGTTCAGAACTATGTAAACCACTCACTAATACCTTATGTGTAATTTTGCATGCAAACAATTGAAATTCAACGTTGAACCAAGCAACTTTACGTGTTTAACTCTTAAGACACAAAGACTAACCCTTCAGAAAGCAAGTGAACATTAAAGTAAAACAAGTAAAATTTTTCAATATTTTAAAAGATTTGTGCATATATTGTGTTCTTCATGACCTCAAGGTTTGACAAAATGCTTTAAAACCACCTACTACATTTTGAAATTTGATTACCACTGTGCATTTTGTAACTCAGATTATACTTTGAAGATCAGTCCCCTTCTTGAAATTTTCATAGTCCCTAACACTAGTCTTGCCCAATTAGACATTTTCCTCAATCATTGCAAAAATATTTGTATATATGTGCTACCATTGCAAGTTGGTGTGGGTGTACTGCAAGCTGTGCAAGTGTGGGAGACAGTTTAAATGTGCATAAATCTTTTGCTGTCTTGCAGAACTACGGAACTGTGATGAGCTGCATGCTATCTTGAGACTGGTGTTGAAAGCTGGAAACCACATGAATGCAGTAAATATTTTGAACAGAATAAACCTACCCACACTGTATTCATGATCATGTTTTATTTATGACTTTGTCACAACCTGCTGCCTGGACCTGTTGATGACTATTTTAGCAAAAACCAAGTTCTTTCTATAAAGTTTTAGTAACCCACTATCAAATCACCCATCAACCAATTAATAAACATAAAACTTATGAACACTGGTTACCAAAGGCAATGTAACATTAACAAAAATCAAGAAGGGTAGAACACGAGTGAGGAGGCTAAATCAAAATGGAGTAGGTAAGAGAAATAACACACCCCATTCTCCTTGCTGTCCATTTCTCTCTAAAGGTTTCCATGGTGCTGATAGACATCATGTGCTCCCTCTCCAAGGAGACCTGGGTGTGAACATAGCCATGTTAAGAGAGTCAGGCTGTTGAGACTTATGACCAAATCTGTGGCCATCTGCCTGGACCTATTAATGGCAACTTTAGCAAAAACCCTTTTTTTATATTTAAGAAATTCAACTATCAACCCAATTAACAAATTCAAGAACTGATCTTTTTTTTTAATTTTTAACACCCACCACCAATATATCTAATCTCCTAATTAATAAATTACAAATTACAACCATTACCACTTAAGGGCAGTGTGACAACAACAAAAATTTAAAAAGTGAGGAAGAATCTAAATCAAAATGGATTTGAAGGGGGTCATAAAAACCGAAAGAACTGCAGATGCTGTAAATCAGGAACAAAAACAAAGTTGCTGGAAAAGCTCAGCAGGTCTGGCAGCATCTGTGGAGGAGAAAACAGAGTTAACGTTTCAAGTCCAGTAACCTTCCTTGGGGGTAATAATGCATTCTAGCCCTTGTCGTGCCCACTTCTCTCTAATAGCATCAAGGGTACTTTTGGACACTGCTTGGTCCGACACTGCATGCTCCATTACCAAACATACCCAGGTACAAACATAGTTGCAGAATAAAGCTGGCAATCTGGAATTATAACCTTCTCCACAGCCCACTGGTTGGATCTCCAGTTACATTATCACCACACCTCCATCTCCCTGGGTAAATCACCATCTCCCACGGTGGGATTTGACCCAGAACCCAGAACATTAGTGTAGAATTGTGCAATACTTTTCTAATGAGATTACCACAATGCCACTGCCAGCTCATGTTTTTATTTTAAATGTCCGCTACCAATTTTCCTAATCACCATTTTACAAATTCCAAACACCAAGAGCTCAGCTTTTTTACTTTGATGAATCTGGCATCTCATCACCCAATTAACAAACAGCAAATTACAAACACTGCCCACCGCACAAAGTGTAACAATGACAAAAGGAACAGAAAGGTGTGGAAAACAATGGTGGGAACTAAATCAGAAAACTAATGCATTCTTGGCTCCATGGTGCTCACCTCTCTGTAAAAGCTGGTAGATACAATGTGCTTCTGTGTTAGTCAGACTGAGAAGCAGGCCCAGAAAAACGCCCTCCAGACTGCCCACATACCCTCACACTGGGTGACCAAAGATCCGGAACGGGTGACTGAAGTGCAGCCAAAAGAACAACAACAGATTTTTAAAAAGGTGAACAGGGAGTGTAATCTCCCACAACCAATGTATACAAGGCTCATAGTATCCTCAACACCACAGAATAAACATTTGGGCTGGCAGTCAAGAATCTAGTTCTTTTTTAAATCAACCTGTTCAGATGTGTTTTAAGATACCTCTGGAAGGGGTAGGACCTGAACCCAACCTATAGCAATACACCACCACATCACAAAAACCCTCAAAAACCGTGCCTTTGTTTCAAATACCCAGTTTTTTGTTAAAACCCAGCCCTAAATTAACCAATTAAAATAACTAATCAGGAATAATTAAGGTGAGGAAGGGGGTAAAGTGCGCCATGGTTTGTTTCCAGAAGAATGTTTCTAATTCTTGTACCCAAAAACTGGGGTAACGTGTCCTTATATGTTTGGTATTGGGCTGTAGACTTATCTTCTATCGAAGGAAATTTGCGTCAATAACCATGAAATCCAAAACTGTGCAAATTAATTAAGGTAGACAGCAATGTTCCCTCCCAGTCGGAGAACACTTCTGCAGTCAAGGACATTCAGCCTCCGATCTTTGGGTAAACATCCTCCAAGGCAGACTTCAAGATACACAACAATGCAGAATCGCCGAGCAGAAACTGATAGCCAAGATCAGTACCCATGGAGATGACCTCAACTGTGATCTTGCGTTCATGTCGCACTACATGTGACCCAACCACACTTATCTATCTGTAAAACCTTCCTTACTATCCTGTTTTGACACCATCACCTTGATAAATTGTTATGATCTCTCTAACTTAATTAGTTTGTACAGTTTTAAATTACTTATTACTTTGGTTAGACCTTTGGCATGCAACTCTTATACCTACCATGTTATTCCAGTCATTTAGTTTGTCTCCAGCACCGCTTTATTTTTAATTTTTTGTAATTATCTCTCTGTCTCATTTAATTGGATTATAGTCATCCCTTCGCTTGTTATCCAGTTGTTGACACTTTACTCACACTGTCTAACACTCTTGGTCGCCTGCGGAGACTTACTATTCAACATTCCACTCACACCAGCTGTATGATCTTTTGATCTCTCTGCCTATAAATTCTGTGTGTGCTCTTCTCTCTCACTCCACCTGACAAAGGAGCTGCGCTCCGAAAGCTTGTGATTCAAATAAACCTATTGGACTATAACCTGGTGTTGTGTGACTTCTGACTTTGTTCAACCCAGTCCAACACTGGCACCTCCACAGCATACATATTTTCTTACCAGACATTTTCTTATCCTGTTCTGACATGCTATTGCATGTGGAACTTTGAACCCAAGCCACCTGGATCAAAGGTAGGAACATTACCACTGCACCTCAAGATCCGTCAAAAACCCTGCTCTTACATAAAAAGTCCAATCAGCATCGTCTCTTCTCAATCAACTCTGGTGCTGTTCTGGTTGACTTTTGAAGAGACCTGCATTTCTAGCATTTATGTCAATTTCATTAGCATGTTACACCTCTCTGGATAAGCATGCAAATTTACCTTGTGTTATTATTCCATTTGCAGGGAGGATATTCAGGAAATGCTGCAGGATTTCGGATTGCATCACTATTGAAGCTTGCTGACATTAAAGCAAACAAACCTGGTGTGAACTTAATACACTTTGTAGCAATGGTGAGTATTTTGAACATAAGGAACTGTCAAGAGACCTCTGGACCCTATTTTCAGGATATTGTTCAATTCACTGTTGTCTTATAAGCTGAAACTCTTTAGATCTGTTCTAGTTTTAACAGCAGGGATGAAAGCAACACTTTGGACAATAAAATTCATTATGCTTGGTTCACTTAATTTTGTAACATGGAAGAATGATATCAATAAATGTTTTGTGACTTTTCAAGCTGTGACTTAGTGATAGTACTCTAGTCTTCAAGATTGATTTGAGAGGCTTAAGCTTGTTAGTTAAATAGCTATTTCTATCCAATATTAGGGGAGTGCTGCACTGTTAGAAGTGATACCTTGCAGTTTAGATGCTAAACTGCTTTCTAAGATGAATTATAAAAATCCCATGGCAGGAATTGAAAATAATTAATGGAGTTTTTCTCCCATTGTGTTTTGTGTAGCCAAAAATAATCCCTCAGCCAGAACCTCAAACAAATGCTTTAGTAACTTATTTAATTTTATTTGGGAACTTCTTATGTGCAACGTGTCTTCTTGTTACCTATCTTAAAATACTGACTACTCTAAAAATATTTCAGTGGTTGTAAAGTGCTGTGGGAGGTCCTGAAGTCATGAAAGGCACTATATAAATGCATATCTTCCTTTCTAATAGGGTACAAAAGCCAACTACTGGGGCATCTGATATTACCTCTGCCATTTTCTAAGTAGATAAGAAGACTTAAGTCACAAGTTATCTTTGTTACTGAAAACAAATTTAATTTTCATTTGTTTATAGCACATTAGCCATATCATTGCACTTAATTAGGTGATATCTGTCATATGTCTCTCATTTATTCTTGTCGATATTTTAGTGTCCATTCTTCGTTTGCATTTGTACATTTTGCTTCCATTTCTCTGTCTATATATTTAACTCTTACTTGTTCCTCTGTTCTCTTTTGCTTGGTATCTGTCTTCTTTGAATGGAAGATCTTATTTGGTTTGGTCTGAAGGCTATACCTGTTTGGAAGTTGTATTGTGCAGTGAGGTTTTTAGAGATAATGTAGCCTGCATTGCTCAGAGGTTCTGTTCCATCACTTCTCCCACTGCCACTTGCTTTCCCTCGAGACACTATTGGTTATCTTACACCTTTGAGTTCTGTCTACTATTGTACAATTTACGCACTTTTTTCTGCTTTGGCTTCTTCCTACTAGCTATAATTTCATATCTGCACCATTTCTTTCTTTTCCCCAATTCATTATCCTTGGCTATCTAACTTCATATTTCCCTTATATAGATTAATTCCCCTCACCTTTACATTTATATCTCCTCCATCTCATTGCAGTAAGGAAAAGCATGTTTCCTTGCAATAAACTAAGAAACAGTGGGCTGAATTTTTCCAGCCCCTGAATGACATGGGCAGTGGCGAATCAGTTAGGAAACTATAGTGAGTTTGGAAAAATGGGATTCTTGATATTGAGAGAAAAAAAGTCCAATTTTATAACTATGCTTTGAATGGCAAGATGGAAACCTCGCTATTGAGGTGCAAGAAACCCATCTGCAATAGAGGGATGATGGTGGCCTAGTGGTATTATTGCTGGACTGTTAATCCAGAGACCCAGGTAAAATTCTGGGACCCAGGGTCGGATTTCGCCACAATAGATGGTAGAATTTAAATTCAGTACAATGTTGGAATTAAGAGTCTGGTGACGAGCATGAAACTGTTGTCATTTGTTGAAAAAACCCATCTGGTTTGCTTATGTCCTTGACGGAAGGAAACTATTTAGGATGGGCAATAAATGTTGGCCTAGACAGTGAAGCTCTCATCCAATGAATAAATAAAGGTTACACGTACTTACTAGCTAATCACAGCTCATATACATGCAGTTTCCATTCTTCCACATTCCGGAGAGGAACTGGACAACAGCTCCCCACATCAAAGTAGAGTAATTATCTGGCATCTCCAGCTCACTGCTTGTTCCTCTGGGCTTCCAGCTTGGACAGCAATCACAACACCTCATGTTGTGCTCCACAGGCAACATCCCATTCCCTAACCACGAAACTGAGCCTCGGACATGCGCCAGATTTACCACATCATCATGTGGTGAATCTCCAACTGACTTAGAGCACAGTTCTCCACTGCAATGCTGCATTTTGGAATGCGGTGGCATGTTTCATTGTAATGCTGCTGCCAGGCCACTTTGTGTGCAAAGACAAACACCTGCTCTCATCCCTGGAACATCTGAACAACAAGGATACCTACGTTAGACTCCTGCTCATTGACTAAAGCTCCACCTTCAACACCATTATCACCTCCAGACTGATCCCAAAACTCTGAGATCTTGGTCTTAGCTTTGCCTCAACTGGATCCTCAGCTTTCCGACCAACAGACTGCAATCAGTGAAGATAGACACCTGCACCTCCTCCACGATAACACTCAACACTAGACACCCCCAAAGTTGAGGCCTCAGCCCCCTACTGTACTCCATGCACACCCATAACTGTGTTGCCAAATTCTGAACAAATGCCACCTACAAGGTTGCTGATGACACCACCATGGTAGGACAGATATCTAACAATGGTGAGTCAGAATACAGAAAGGAGATAGAGGGCTTGGTGATGTAGTGAAATGTGAACAACATCTTTCTCAACGTTGGCAAAACTAAAGAACTGATCGTTGACTTCAGAAAGAAGGGAGGCGAACACGCCCCCATCTACAGAACTGAGGTTGAGAGGGTGGAGAGTGTCAAGTTCCTAGGAGTGAACGATAACTGACAACCTATCCTGGACTTGCCACGTAGATGTGACGGTCAAGAAGGCACAACAACAGCTCTTCTTCCTCAGGTGGCTGAGGAAATTTAACATGTCCACAAAGTCCCTCACCAACTTCTATAGATGGACCATTGAAAGCTTATTGTCCAGGTGCATAACAGCCTAGTAATGCAACTGCTCTGCCCAGGACCGTAAGAAACTACAGAAAGTTGTGTGCACAGCCCAGATCATCATGAAAGCCAACCCACCATCTATGGACTCCATTTACATGGCTCGTTGCTGCAGAAAGGCCCATCATCAAAGACCCATCGCACCCTGGTAATGCTTTCCTGACAACCTCTTCCGTCAGGCAGAAGGTACTAGATGCTTGAACACACACACCAGCAGGTTCAAGAACAGCTTCTTCCTGGTCATTATTAGACTGATGAACGGACTCTCCAACATCAAATTATGCTGATCTTGTTAATGTTGATCTTGCCTTGTGCACACCCTGTGCGACGTAACCTGTATATCTCTGTCTAAGTATTTTTTTCAACCTATGGTCTGTAAATCCTTGTTAACTATGATCTGCCAGTATTGCTCATAAACAAAACTTTTCATTGTACTTAGGTACACGTGACAATAAAATCAATCAATCATGCATTGAACCAGGTGCATCTCAATGGTCCTGACTTGCTCTCTTACTATTCACTCACTTTATGCATGCTTGGATGTTTACAACATCTCTGTCATGCTTTGCTGTGCATTATGACACTTTGCTATCTCATTCGGAACTTACAGACTGATGCTACTTCTGTCTTGCCTTTCCTTTTTAGTGCAGAAATAACATTAAGCAGCTTGTCATGTTTGCCAGCAGTGATCGGTCAAGCGGTGGATATGTTGCTGTAATGCACCATGATATGTCAGTGTTACATCTACGTGCCATGCCTCCAGTTTACACAGCAAACACACTGCATGTGCTTCAACTATATGACCATGTTTAAAAATCTAAGGGGAGTAGTCCTCAGTCAGGTCAATGGAGACTGAATTCAGACAGCGAGTATGGGCATGGTAGGACAAAGACATTCCATGAGATCAGTTCAAGGACTTGAAATATTTAGTTGCTTCTTTCGGGTGTCCATGTTCCGGGGATCTATGTCTCTTCAGTCCAAGGAGTAGGCCATAGTCAGTCCTGCAGGCCCAATTCATTTAGTCAGGGATTCACAGTAAGTCGGTTGGGATGCTGCACAGAGATCACTCAAGGGTCAGGTCACTCACCAGTCAGGGCTGCCTTTCCAAGTTAGCCAGGGGTTGCACCAAGGTCAGTCCAGGGATTCTGTTCACTGAAAGTCTAGAGGGGGGTTGTCAGGGGCCACTGTTGTGTTCATGATGTGGAGGTGGTGGTGTTGGACCAGGGTGGACAAGGTCAGAAGTCACACGATACCAGGTTATAGTCCTGGTTGAAATCACAAACTTTCCAAGCACTGCTCCTTCGTCAGGGGAAGTGTGTGCTATGTTAGGGATACTAGGGAAGTCAACTGTGAGGATTGGATGCTGGGGATGAAGAGGGCATAATAATTGTGCAGGGGCTCAATCCACATATAAGAGTGGGAGATGATAAATGTGTGAGCGCAAAGGGTACTATGGGACGGGGTCATGACGGCAGTTCTCTGATCTGAAATATCTCTCCCTTAATAAGCTACAGAGTCATGGCAGTGATTTTTATTTATTTATGTACTCATGGGATGTGAGCATCACTGGCTGGGCTAACATTTATTGCCCATCTCTAGTTGGCCTTGAAAAGGTGGTGGTGAGCTGCCTTCTTGAACCACTGCAGTCCATGTGCTATAGGTAGACTCACAATTCCATTATGGAGGGAATTCCAGGATTTTAATTTGGGACTGTGCCATGGTTACTCTTACCAACACTATCATGGACAGATGCACCTGCAACAGGCAGATTGGTGAAAATGAGGTCATGTATGTTTTTCCTTCTTGTTCGTTCCATCACTACCTGTCACATAGCCAGTCTAGTAGCTGGGACCTATAGAACGCAATCGGTAATTTTGCTGCCAAGTCACGCCTGGTGATGGACATTGAAATCCTCCACCCAGAGTACATACTGCAACCATGCCACCCTCAGTACTTCCTCCAATTGATGTTCAACATCTTTATCTCCTAAATCCTATTCCAGTTTCAGGAAAAGTTGCAAGAAGTCAAACAGAGCTGTGTGTCAGATGGGAGAGGAAGCAATTCAGAACTGTAAAAATGCATGTGAGCAGGTATATTTAGAATGCTGTCAGCTTTTAATCTGTATAAATTTATGTCAGTAAATTTGTTAATGGGCTATATTGGGAATATTTTATAGACCTTGTACCCATTAATAAAATATATTATTTCCATCCCAATGATATTCATTTGCAGCTAAAACTGACAAGAAAACTCACAATTGATCAAAATCAGCTGTCACTGACTTGCACATACTGAAGAAATATGCTTTAAGGTTTGAACTCTGATATTGCAGGATGTTATCATAAACAAAAAAAAAAATTCATGTTTTAATGCCTGACCCTTTTATTGCAATTATTTACAGTCCTGGGCACTTGGAAAGGCCTCCGTGATGTTTCATGTCATTTGACAATGTTTAGTTGTGGAAAAGTTGTTGTTCCAATAACAATATTGTTCAATGTTCTGCATATTTTTATGAAATAGTGAAAAAAATCTCTGGAAGAAGTGTCGTCCAAGTGGCTACTTTCCTCTCCTTGTTGTCTTTTTGCTTACGTTATTTAAATTCTCCTTGATGGTGCATAAATTTGATTGACTCTAACATCTGTTTGAAATGTTTTCTTTTTCAGACAGGTAAATTAAGACCTGAGCATGTTAAAAGCTTTGTAGTAATGCTATATTATTGGTGTTGTTAGCACCTATCTTAAATAATTTACACTTCACAAATTAGGCCTTTCTGTCTCCTCAAGAGGTACTTAACAGAGCTGGCAATAAACTTTAAAATTAAGTTTGGTACTTTTTTACCTTTCATACCCTGCTGGCCGGTGTCACCAGGCTTTGCTTTCATAAAATTTCATTTTCAGTTGCCATTACAACATTCCTCCTCACTTAGTTCTTAATGCAGTCTTTCCTATTCTCATCTCCATACTATGATCCAAATATTGGTGATGAGAAGTTAGTCCAGGTCAGAGAAAAAAAATCCTTCTATACATATGTGATAAAATGCATAACGTACCAATTATTTTGAAAGGCAATAATCCAAGTAAGGTACTGTAAGCAGCTACTAGATTTTACATGATTTAGCAAGTCTGAAATGTCACCCCTTTATTAGATGTGAATATCATTTGACTCCAACTGTTAATTTGCTGATTAACTTTATGAGCATTTTATGTACAGCATTTTGCAGAAGGAGTATGTCATTTTGGTCACCGGCACATTTGAGATTTGTCCTTGAATAAATCCATTGCAACTAATTTATTTAATTGATTGAAACTAGTATTTATTTTATTAACAGGAAGCAGAAAAAAGGGACAAGAAGCTTCTTTCTTTCCCAGATAAACTAGAACACATTGGAGCAGCTGCCAGGTAGGGTAATATGTCTCTCCCACTCCATGCTGCAGAAAACCCTACAATTATGACAAGTCTTAATTTTTACATACTTGCAAACATCTGTCTGTCTATGCTAACATATATTTTAACAGCTACTAGTTACCTTCAAGTTTATAAAGGACTTTTGTTCCTACTTTACAGTAAGAAATACCTTACATTTATTAACAACAAATGGGTGTTTATTTGAATATGAATGGTATGCATGCTGTTTGTCGTATCAACATTCTTTTGCCCTCATGACAAGATTTCAGGAATTCTGTTGAGTCTTTATGTAGCATAGCATCACAATTGTTGTCTTCTTTGGATATTCAGGGATGAAGCATAATAGCATCTTGGCCAAGTTTCTTCAGAGCAGAATTTTGAACAAGTTCAATGCAACAAACTGAATGGTTAAGCACAGAAGGAGGTCATTCAGCCCAGCTGGTCCTCACTGGCTGTCTTCAACAAAAATTCAGTTAACCTTACTTCACTGCTATTTCCATGTATACCTGCAAATTATTTATTTTCTGTGGTTTATTAAATTTCCTTTTGAAAAGCATAATTAATTTTAACCCCTGCCTTCATAGATAGTATTTCCAGATCCTAACCACTCAGTATTTCTTCTTCTCATCTTTGTTTGTTTTTCCAAATTACTTTAAATCTAGTTCTCAAGCCATCATCAAAAGGAATAGTTTCTCTCTATCTATTCTGTCTAGATCCCTTAAAATTTGGAACACCTCCTATTAAATTTCCCCTCATCCTTCAACAAGGAGAACAGCTCTGCCTTCTCCAAACTATCCTCATACCTGAAATCCATCGTCTGTAAAATCATTCTTCTAATTCTTTACTGCACCATCTCTGACGCCTTCAAGTCTTTCCTAAAGCGTGCCACCCAACACTTCACACAATATTTCACAAAAGGCCAAATTAGTAGATCACAATGGTTCATTATAACTTCCTTGTTCTTGTATGCAATGCTTATAAAGTCATTGAATCATAGAACTGTACAGCACAGAAACAGACCCTTCGGTCCAACTTGTCCATGCCGACCAGATATCCTAAATTAATTTAGTCCCATTTGGCCCATATCCCTCTAAACCCTTCCTATTCTGATACCCGTCAAGATGCCTTTTTAGTATCATAATTGCACCAGCCTCCCCTACTTCCTCTGGCAGCTTATTCCATTTACACACCAATCTCTGCGTGAAAAAGTTCCCCATTAAGTTCCTTCTAAACTTTTCCTTCTCACCCTAAACCTATGCCCTCTAGCTTTGGATTCCCCTACCTTGGGAAAATGACCCTGGCTGTTCACCCTGTCCATGCCCCTCATGATCTTATAAACCTCTATAAGGTCCCCTCTCAGCCTCCAATGCTCCAGGGAAAATAGCCCCAGCCTAAGTAGAAACCAAAAGAATTGTGGATGTTGTAAATTGGAAACAACAACAGAAATTGCTGGAAAAGCTCAACAGGTCTGCCAGCACCTATGAGGAGAAATCAGAGTTACCGTTTCAGGTCCAGTGACCCTTGCCCAGCTTAATGAGCCTGACCCTAGAGCTCAAATCTTCCAACCCCAGAAACATCCTTATCAATCATTTCTGAACCCTTTCAAATTTAACATCAAATTTCTGTAGCAGGGAGACCAGAATTGAATGCAGTATTGCAGAAGTGGCCTAACCAATGTCCTGTATAGCCGCAACAGGACATCCCAACTCTATACTCAATGCACCGACCAAGAAAGAAAAGTGTACCAAAAGCCATTTTCACTACCCTGTCTACCTGTGATTCCACCTTCAAGAAACTATGAACCTGCATCCCAAGGTCTGTTTGTTCAGCAATACTCCCAGGACCCTGCCATTAAGTGAATAAGTCCTGCTGTGGTTTGCCTTACCAAAATGCAACACCTCCTATTTATCTACATTAAACTCCATCAGCCAGTTCTCAGCCCATTGGCCCATCTGATCAAGGACCATTTGTCATTTGAGATAACCTTCTTCACTGCCCACTTCACCACCTATTTTCCAGTCATCCACAAACTTACTAACCATTCCCCTTATATTCACATCCAAATCATTTGTATAAATGACAAAAAGCAGTGAACCCTGCACTAATTCTTATATTTGTGAAACCTAAGATCTGTACGGTCTGTTAACCATTTTCCCAGTCTTCATGAGTCCACATATACCCCAGGTCTTTCAGCTTTTACATCCCTTTCAGAATTGTACCTTGTAATTTATATTGACTCCCTTATATACCAAAATGTATCATGTGACATTGCTGTACCTTAAATTGCACATGCCACATGCCCTTCCACTGGCTTTTCAAAGTCCTCTTGATGAAGGCTTGATCATTATCCTCCTCAGTATTCACAATACTTCGAAGTTGAGTATTAACAATAATTTTTTAAATTGACCACTGTATGCCTATATTATTATTTTACATCAAGAAGAGCAATGGTCCTAGTGCTGACCGCTGGAGAACCACCATATACTTTTCTCTACCCCTATTTCCTGTCTCTCAGTTTACAACCTTGTTGGTAAAACAGATTTTAATCAAACGTTCTTGTGCAATTTGACCATCCCTCATACTAGGTTATGCAATTCACAGTTGGATTTACTTACTTTTACATATTTATGCTGGATTAAGAAGCATTTAATAATCTCCATTGTAAGTATCTTATAATTGGCCATTAGTTTCAAAGATCTGCTCTAATGAAATTATATTCCCATATTTTTAAAAAATATGCTTCTCTACAATTTTTATTAGTGCATTGTTAAATAAAAAGATAAACAGAGGAAACTATAGCCAAAAATTATGACTATGGATTATATAAAGTGATAATAGGCATGCAAAAAACAAAGAAGATCATTTATATCCAGGTCCAAACTGGTTTAGTGATTGCAGAGATGATCATTGAGGTTATGTAACTGGTTAGCCATCAAAACTATTTAAACTTTGAAGCTTTGTAAACACTTCCATTTTAAAAGATATTGCAGCACAATTTTAATTAAATGATAATTGATATGTAGACATTAAGTATTGTCTTTGATTGGAAGATACTACAGGATTGATTGACATGACTCATTGCATCAGTCAAATTTGGAACTGAGGATAATCAGTGACATTCATCAAGTAATTTCTGACTTTTTGACCTCTCAGGTTATCCGAAGATGGTATAATGGAGGAACTAAATAAGCTGTCAAAAAGAGTTGCCTCTCTGCAGACAGATTTAAATGAAGATCCAGAGCTTGAAGCACAGTTGGCTCCCTTTTTACAGGTAAAAGTGGTTAAAGATTTTAGTACAACTTGATGTAAATGCTGTAGCCCTTGTATTCAATTCCATAAAGATTGTTGACGTTAAAAACAGAAGATAGTTGAAATTGGAAAGCATAGAAGCCTCCTTTCCAAAGAGTTGATAGCTCTATAGTATTTAATGAATAGAATATTTAAGATAATGAAGATATCACCTTTGGCAGAGAGATGCACTTCTGTGTTTGCTATCCTTTCTCAGTTCTAACTTGTATTGAACAGAATATGAAGAAGGTCTTGATTAAAAAAGTGAAACAATTGGGTCCCCAGAGTCTGTAAACAATCCAGGTTCACAAGTTGATTTCTGCCATTAAATTCAGTAGCATAGCAATTTTAACCTGTTCTAATGGGTCTGAGAGGTCCCCAAAAATTTGGTTACAGATTCTGGTCGAGTCCTGCCCAGCTATATAGGTATGGATTTTCTTTTCCTCTTTCATTTGGTCTTGAGATGTAGCTTGCATTCATTGCTAATCCTTATCCTTAGAGCATTAAAAATCAACCAACATACTGTGAGATTGTAACCGTGTATGGGCCGGACAAGGTAAGGTTATTAAAATGACTTCACAGAGGCTGGTATCCCGTCACCAAGTCACCCTTTATTTACATGTGGAGAGTCCTTGACACTGATCCAACTTATTCAGAGCCTGCTCTCAGAGTGAGCAGAACCTCTGACACTCCTGTTTATATCTGTCAGCCAGGGCTCCCTGACTGGACCAGATTAACAGCCCCAATCAGGGAACTCACATTCTATGAGTTCACCTGGCTGACCTCGTTACAATCATTACATCCCTCCCCTCCTGAGTCCAAGAACATAGGCCAGTTCTTTTTTTGGAGCTCCTCCTGGGATGTTTTAGCACTGGGTCAGGTTCCTCCAACTCTGCCTCTGACGAAGGCAGCATGTAACGCACAGTAGCTCGCCACTTGTGCCTGCTTCAGGCAGTAAAAGCATCAAAAAAGGTGGCAACATCTGTCAAGTTCCTTTCAGATTCTGAGGTATCTTCAACACTTGATGCAGAGGGAGAATCCACTGGTTCTGGAACAGTTGGAAAGGCAGTCAAGGAGCTGAGCATGTTTTGCTGTCACACCATTTACAAGTTTGCAGCTTTCATGTGGTCCACGTGCCTATTCACAACCATCACACCTACTCGAATCTTATACATTGCTGGACCTGACCTCACATTGACCATGTCTCTTATCCGTGCAGGGCCATTCCTGTGGTTCCTACACCAAACATCATCCCCTCAAGTAAACTTTCCGTCACCCTTAGTGGAGTCTTGTGTCCACATTGGCATCACTGATGCCATTTCACCCTCCACCTCAGGTCCGGGAAGATCAAATCTAACCTGAAGCAGTCTTCTCCCTGTTGGCAACTCTGCTGGAGCTGTCTCCATAGTTACATGAGAGTGGTCCTGTAATCAAATAGGAACGGGGACAGGTTGAAATCTAGTGAAGGTGTAGGCTGTTTTTTTAAGCCTTCCTTCAAAGTTTGGACTGCTCTTTCTTCCAGACCCCAAGTCTCCCTAATTCTGAGATGCTATTAGTTTTACTTGGCAATTCGAAAACCAGGGGAATCCATATTGGGATTTTTGATTAGGTGAAGATGACTGGCAGAGGTATGTGACTTTGGTTTAACAGTTAATGAGATGCTGAGAGGCTGTTTGGCATGTGGAATTAATGATGTAACAATGCAAAACCGCCTATTAGCTGAAACCCAACTGGACCTCAAGCAGGCACTAAAACTGGTTTTATCATTGGGAAATGCAGCATGTGGCATATATCAGTTACAGGGTATTCCAATGGAAGTGGACACTCTCGTCAGTCCATCTGAGCTTGGGAACACCACTTGAGTGAATGCAATTACACAGCCTCACTCAGGACATATCCTGAACAAAGGGACTCTAGGTCCACTGCAAAACCCCAAAACAAAGCCAAGCCTTGGCCAATTGGTTAAAATTTTCTTTAGAATCTGGGCCACCAAGCTACTGTAGTTGCTGCTGGTATGCAGACTTGAGACAGCAAAAGAGTCCCACTAGATCTAAATTGTGTAAGAGATCTCATAAGCTACTCGAGTGCTTCTTTCAGCAACACTGATGGCCTCTCTGTCCTTGATGCTTGCCAATTTGTTCCTGGCTGTCACTGGGATAGGGCTTTGGATGCTTGAACCATAAATAGTTTTGATTGCACTTATGAATCCACACATGTCATGGCTGCTGATGAGTTTCTGGATTTCCTACAGTCTTTCCACCCAACCCCATTCTTTAGGTCACAGATTTTGCATTGGACATAGGCCTTAATTTGTTTGTAGAACCGCTTTCTTTCCCTCAATTAAATATCGGTGGTATTTCCAGTTCAAAAACACCTTACACTTGTGATTTAGTAAATCCTAGATCTCCTGGTAGTTCTGGTCAAACCATCCATGATGTTCCCTGATAGAGAACAAATAGTTTTCTCACTATAACTGGGGGTCAGTGAGGGAGCATTTTGGGGCCAGTGATGACAATTCTTTTAGTTTTAAAATATTTATGGAAAAGGATAGACCTTATCTAAAAGTTAGTTATAAATTGAAGTAAGCCCAATTCTGATGGTATTAGGCAAGAACTTTCAAAAGTTAGTTGGGAGAGGCTATTCACAGGTAAAGGGACGGTTGTAAAGTCAGGGGGCCTTCAAAAATGAGATAATGAGAGTCCAGAGTAAGTACATTCCTGTTAGTGTGTCAGGCAAGGCTGGTAGGTGTAGGGAATACAAGATGGCTAGAGAAGTTGAAGCACTGGTCAAGAAAAACAAGGCAAGTGGCAGGTATTGATATCTGGGATTATGTGAATCCCTCGAGGAGTATAAGGGCACTAAGAGTGTACTCAAGAGGGAAATCAGGAGGGCAAAAAGGGACATGAAGTAGCTTTGGTAAGTAGATTTAAGGAGAATCCAAAGAGAGTCTACAAATACATTGAGGGCAAAAGAGTCAGCAGGGAGAGAATAGGGCCCCTTAAAGATCAACAAGGTTGTCCATGTATGGAACCGTAGGAAATGGGTGAGATAGTAAATGATTATTTTGTGCCATTATTTATTGTGGAGAAGGGTAAGGAAGCAAGGGAACTTGGAGAAAAAAATAGTGATACCTTGAAAAGTGTCCATATTACAGAGGAGGAGGTACTGGACGTTTCAAAATACATAAAGGCGGATAAATCCCGGGACCTGGTCAGGTGTATCCTGGAACTTTGTGGGAAGCTAAAGAAGTGATTGCTGGGCCTCTTGCTGAGATATTTGTATCATCGATAGCCACAGCTGAGGTGCCAGAGACTGAAGGGTGGCTAATGTGGTGCCATGATTTAAGAAAGGTGGTAAGATAAAGCCAGAGAACTGGCTGGTGAGCCTGATGTCAGTGGTGGATAAGTTGTTGGAGAGGATTCTGAGAGACAGAATTTACATGTAATTGGAAAGGCAAGGACTGATTAGGAATAGTCAGCATGGTGCATGGGAAATTGTCTCACTAACTTGATTGAGTTTTTGAAGAAGTGGCAAAAAGATTGATGCAGCCAGAACAGTCGACATTGTCCAAATGGACTTTAGCAAGGCATTCAGTAAGGTTACATTTGATAGACTGGTTAGCAAGTTTAGATCACATGGAATCCAAGGAGAGATAGCCATTTGGACACCAAATTGGCTTGAAGGTATAAGACAGAGGATGGTGGCAGAAGGATGTTTTTCGGACTGGAGGCCTGTGACCAGCAGTGTTCCGCATGAATCGGTGCTGGGTCGCTACTGCTTATTGTCACTTATATAAATGATTTGGATGCGAATATAGGAGGAATGGTTTGTAAATTAGCAGATGACACCAAAATTGATGGAGTAGTGGACAGTGAAGAAGGTTATCTCAGAGTACAAATGGACCTTGATCAGATGGGCTAATGGGCCGAGGAGTGGCAGACAGAGTTTAATTTAGATGAATGTGAGGTGTTGCATTTTGGCAAGGCAAGTCAGGAAAGGACTTATACACTTAATGTTAAGTTCCTGGGGAATGTTGCCAAACAAAGAGACCTTGGGGTGCAGGTTCATACTTCCTTGAAAGTGGAATTGCAGGTAGACAGGCTAATGAAGATGATGTTTGGTACGCTTGCCTTTATTGGTCAATGCATTGAATATAGGAGTTGGGATGTCATGGCTATACAGGACATAGCTTAGGCCACTTTTGGGATACACACATTCAATTCTGGTCTCCCTGCTATAGAAAAGATATTGTTAAACTTGGAAGAGTTCAGAAAAGATTGATAAGGATGTATCTGGGGTTGGAGGATTTGAGCTCTAGTGAGAGGCTAATTAGGCTGGAGTTATTTTCCTTGGCACATTGGAGTCTGAGAGGTGACCTTATAGAAGTTTATAAAATCATGAGGGGCATGAATAGGGTGAATAGCCAAGGTCTTTTTCCCAAGATAGGGGTATCCAAAACTCAAGGGCATAGATTTAAAGTGAGAGGGGAAAGATTTAAAAGGGACCTAAGAGCGACATTTTCATGCAGAGGATGGTGCATGTATGGAATGAGCTACCGGGGAAGTGGTGGAGACTGGTACAATTACCACATTTAAAATGCATCTTGGTGGGTATATGAATAGGAAGGGTTTAGAGAGGTATGGGCCAAATGCTGGCAAATGGGACTAGATTAATTTGGGATTTCTAGTTGGCATGGACAAGTTGGACTGAAGGGTCTGTTTCCATGCTGTACAACTTGATTACTCTATGACTGTATAATTTATTATAGATTTAATAACAGACAGGGCACCATGAACATTCTGTGGTTCCTGTTTGTTGAGCATCACCAGACTGGCTGTGAGGCACTGACTGTGTTGATCTTTCCTCACAGTCCTTGAGTCCATTGACAATGAATTGCATGTGGCAATGCTTCTGATGTCACTGCTGAGGTTTGATGCTGCTGGGGTCATCCAGAGTGTCCTGATGTTCCCAGGTCCCAAACTTCATTTTGAGGGGTGGAACATGTCTGTCTATGGATTCTTTTAACGTGGGATGGCCATTGCACACTGACTACCACATCATCCTGGCAAAGTAAATGTGCAAATAGCCAAAATGATTTGAAACATATGTTGTTACTCCTAACTTCCACCATCCTAGGATTTTGCAATCCTGCTTGCTTGCGGGTTATCAACAGAGTTGACAGCATACCAATCAGCCCCTTTAAGATCAGAAAAGACTTGTATTGCCATAGCAGCAGGTTGATAGCCAACGAAATCCATCTATTGTGCTGATCCCGCTATTTAATATCTGACATCATGTTTTGAGTCCTATACCTGTGGGATTTCTCATCCCTGATTTTTTTAGTTCTATCTCTCTCTTCTCTCACTCTTTTGCTTAAATTGAAGCCATTGTATTTTAAGTACTGCTGAGTATCACTCTACTTGTGATTAAGTTTGAGTCTTAACTTAAATATAAATGCTAAATGTTATTTATGTCATTTAAAAGAAATGAGATTGTTGGGACAAAGGGAATCAGTATAGAATAGGGTAGTTTGAGAACACAGTTCACAAACGAGTAACAAAAGGCAATTGTACTCATGAGATAACAAGGTGTAGACCTGGATGAACACAGCAGGCCACGCAGCATCAGAGGAGCAGGAAAGCTGACGTTTCGGGCCTAGACCAATTGTACTCATCTTAGTTTACCAATTGAGGATAAACTTTACGGTTCCTCTCCTGAGGCCTCTGTTTACTTCTCAAATAATTCCAGGGTTCTTGACATCATTTGTTTATCCAGAAGATTTTTTTTAACACTTTGTATGGAATTTCTCTTTTCTAGTTTGGACCTACATTGCTGAGTCCTCCCTCCACAATTTAATTTCAGACAATATTTCAAACTCATCTTTTCAGTTCCCTTGAACATTCCATATACTTCTCAAAGATCTAGTGATAGATGTTTGCTGTGGGTAGTGCCTGATGAACAGCTGTATTGCCATCAATGGAATAAACTATCAGGAGTTGTGTGTGATAACACCTAATCAGACACAATCCATTTTGTGTACCAACGCTGCTCTCAAAATCCTCCTTTCAAGGCTGAAAAGCTTAAGTTTCTTGAAGGTTTACTCATAACTCAGACCTTTGCTCAAACACAGACATTGCTGATGAAACTCAGCAGGTCTGGCAGCATCTGTGAAAAGTTAACAAAGTTAATGTTTCAAGTCCACTGACCATTCATCAGAACAGTTTGTAGCTAGGAAGTGGTAGTATTTATTATTTGTGCTGATGATGAGAGCTGTGAGGATGGTGGCTCTATGAGCAGATAGGTGAAGACAGAGCCCAGAGAAAGAGAGAGTTAAAAATAAGGTGGGCAGACAAAGGGATTGTTGATAGTAAGCCAGGGGAGAAAAGAAGCTAGATACATGATAATGGGGGCTACGAGTAGGTGAAAATGCATTGACCGTACTCAAAACAATCCATGTCATGACAGGACCTGGGGTGTAGGCATGGGTAAGGGACATGGAAGGAGGTGGTCATGCTCTAAAATTGTTAAACATAATATTGAGACCTGAAGGCTAGAAGGTCCCCAAGCGGAAGATGAGGTGTTATTCCTTCAGTTTGAATTGATCTTTGCTGGACCACTGCAGTAGGCCCAAGATGGAGATATTGGCATGGGAACAAAGTGGTACATTGAATTGGCAGGCAAATGAAGCTTGGGGTCATTTTTACAGACAGAATGTATGTGTTCTGCAAAGTGGTCACTGAGTCTGCATTTCATCTCCAAGTGTAGAGGAGACCATAATGTGAGCAGTGAATAATGTAGACCAGATTGAGTGAACTGCAGATAAATCACTGCTGCACCTGGAAGGTACTTCTGGGACTTGGGATAGTGAGCAGTGAGGAGGTAAATGGGCTAGTGATCGCATGGGAAGATGCCTTGGGGATGTGGGGAGATACTGGGAGTGTTGGAGGAGTGAACTAGGGTGTCCTGGAGGGAAAAGTACTTGTGAAATGCTAACAAGGGAGGAGAGGGGAATATGCATCTTGTGGTGGCATTCCACTGGAGGTGGCGAAAATGGTGGCTTGTGATCCTTTGGATGTGGAGACTGATGGGTAGAAAGTGAGGACGGAAGACCCTATCATTGTGGAAGAAAGAGCAGAATTGAGGGCAGAAGTGTGGGAAGTGGATCAGACCTGAAGCAGGGTGACTGGAATTGAAACATTAATGCTGTTTTCTCTTCACAGATTACTCCAGACCTGCTGGGTTTCTCCAGCAATTTCTGTTTTTGCTTGTTTCAGATCTCCGGCATCTATACTTCTTTGTTTTATTTCAGGCTTTTGCTGCTTGGGTTTAACTTAATTTATGGTCCTTCTCAGTACCATGCCTGAATATCTATCTTGTTTCTTGGCAACCAGAAATAAGCAGAGCACTCACATTTAAAAAAGAATGCTGTACAATTTGATGTACTTATCCTGACTTGTATTCTACTGTTTGAGCTTTGATTGCTTCACAGCACTAATTGCTCCCGTTAACATTGAGTACATTATTATGTATCTTGCGTCTCTGCCCTCAGCTATTGAAACAATTTTCGTGGATTCTGTTGTCCCCTTCTTGTGTACTTGTGTATACTTTGGCAGGAAAGCTGTTGATTTTGGGGAGAGAGGTTGATGGCTAGATGGCTCAGTGGGGACAAAACAGCTAAATGAATAATCTTGATTTTAGACATTAAAAGGTATCTCAAGGATAACAACACCTGAAGCTGTACAATGCTGTTGATTAATGGATTTAGGAACATAAATATCGGAACAGAAGTAGGCCATTCAGCCTGTCTTGCCTGTCCCGTCATTTAATACAACCATGGCTGATTAAACACTGCATTTCCTTTTACTCACCCCATCTCCATAACCCTGAACAGCACTGGCAATCAAAATCTATCACTCTCTACCTTAAACATACTCAAAAGATTGAACGTCCACAGCCCTCTGGTAAAAAATTCCAAAAGTTCACAAACTCTAAAAGTAAGATAATTTCTCCTTACCTTTGACCTAAGTGGCAATCCCCTTATTTTAAATTTTGCTCTCTGGTTTTAGATCCAACCCTTGTTGGTTTTTCATCTCCACTCAGTTTATTGAATGACTCTTAATTCTGTATCTGAGTGCTGTCAAAACAGAATGCTAATTTTAACTCTGTAGTTGAATCAGTTTTGAGTGAGTAAAGGTCGGGCTCATGCATAATTCTGAAGTTACAAATATACCTCTTGTAACTTCATCCTTAAGAACTAAATTCCAGCTTGATTTATACTCAAATGTAGTCTCTATACACTCAATGCATATTAGTTACAAGAGATAGGAAAGAATAGGCTCAAGTTAATGTATGAGTATAAAATATTAAAAACTGGATGTTGCAAATAGTTAACCTGTTGAAGTTTTCTATGATGTTTTGTACATCTTGTGTTTTCCTTCCCTTTATAGACTGCAAAGGAAAAACTGAAAGAAATATGGAAAACAATGGAATTCTTCCAGAGAATGAGACAGTCCTTGGTAGAATATTTCTGTGAGGATGAAAAGCTTAAGCTGGAAGAATATTGCACTGTTCTCAAAAGTTTCTGTGAAAAATTCCTCAAAGCAATTCAGGTAAAGCCATGTATTCCAAATATTTTCAAGACAAGATTTAGTTTCTGGTGCTAGCTAGGCCAGACAATATTTATCATTAGCAATATTCTTGAACACAAGGTTTTTTTTCTGTGAACTGAGACACCCCAGGATTATATGTTGACACCCTCCAGTGTTGGCCCCATTAGCATTTGTGCTGTCAGTAGGGTGGTGCTTCATATGCATAAATCAGGTTGTTACAAGTGCGTAGTGGGCATTTCTTCAGCATCTAGTTACCAGTATCTGTTGGAACCTCCAGCAACCCCTTCCATTCTTGAACAAGGATGATTTTGTTTTTTAAAATATGTTTCTGGGGATCTAGTGGGGTCTCTTGTGGAGACTGTTATATTTAAGATCCACCATTTTGAGAGTAATGTTCCATTTAGCTACATGTCCCTGAAAGTTCCTGCAGAGATCATGTACATATTGTCTCCTCGAGGATACTGTAAACTGTATGCAGCTGTACATAATGATTTAAAGGATCATATATTTAAACAAATCACCTGTCCACTAATTTAAAAATATGAGTATGTTCATTGAGAGTTTTCTCCTTTGGCTGTCACTTGCCTTGTAGAGTGTGGATTAACATTCCACCTGAGAAATGAAGCAGAACTTCCTCCAATCCAACACAAGGAAGTTTGGTCCCAAACAAGTTGATCTGATTGCATTGGCTTCTGGCACATTTGTATGTCTGCCATGGGATGTGGATGGCTCTGGCTACGCCAGTATTTATTGTGCAAGCGTAGCTGCCCTTGAGAATCTGATTGTGATCTGCCATCTTGAACCATTGGTGTAGATAGACCCACAGTGCTGTTGGGTTCCAGAATTTCGACCCAGTGATAGTGATTAATACCAACGCTGGGGACTAATTACTGTTTAATGAACAAACGATCTTCCTTTGCCACACCAGTTTTAAAATTTTAATATGTAAACTTGAATGCACATGTACATATAAATAAAGCAGACCAGAGTATGATTTTCCATGAAATAAAAATGTTGACAAAGTATATTCACGGCCTTGTACTTATCAGTATTGATTAAATCACTTTACCTTCTTGATAATACCTTACTAGTGATATTCACAAACACATGTAGGTTTGGTATTCTTCCATACACTATTTTAAAGCAAGCTTTATAGTGCCTTTTTTAAATGGGACATTGTCTCTACTAACTACATGGTATAGAAATTACATACGAACATGCAGGTATACATTTGTTTTCAATAATCACCAAATGTAATTTCCAAGTTCTGATATCTGCAGCCAATACCTGCCATGGCTTTCTCTTCTCTGTTCCTGAGGAGAATATTGATGATTTGACAGTGTTTTCAGGCATGATGGCAGTGCCTTGAGTTGGAGTAGTAGTACTAGCAAATTCAGGGATAATGTTATGAGAAATACATATATAAGTCAACCTGCCTAATGCTGACAGTCAGAGCTAGATTTTTGTGAAACCCACAAGACTTTTAAAAAATGGTGGGCAAGACCCAGCTGTGGATGTTCTGCTCCTGTTACCAACAGATCCCATTTTTGATGGCTGGGGGAAGAGGTTGGAGAATGATTCACCTAAGCAGGAAATCTAAACTCAGAGAAACCATTTGAAATTAGTGTTGAATTCAAATAGACCAGTTTACTGTTCCAAGAACTTAATCTACAGTCTTGATTACGAATTTATAAAGAAGCATATGTGCTTCTGAAGGGTAGATAAGGTCTGTTTAAATTTTGTAATCTGAAGCTTCTATAAATCCCCACCTCTTTAAAATGAACACAATAGGCTAAAGCTGTCAGAATGTTAAAAATAACCTCTGTGGACTTTTGTGATTCACAGGCATCGCCATTGCCAACTGTTCCTGCAATTTAAATAGCTTTCCTTCTTGACATTTCCCAAAGACTGATATCACAGCTTGCTTGAGTTTCAAAAAGAACAGAAGCACTTATCTCAGTGTGCATGTGTGATTATGGGTGTGTGTTTGTGCGCGTGTATGTGTGGTGGGGGTACTGCATTGTCATGCACCTACCTTGGTGGGGAGGGACTGAGTTCAGTTTCTAATTGACACTTTAAAGAGTCTATTTAAAAGATTGCAGGTCTGGCAACATCTGTGAAGAGAAATCAGAGTTAACGTGTTAGGTCCAGTGACCCTTCCTCGGAACTGAGGACCCGAAATGTTAACTCAGATTACTCCTCATAGATGCTGCCAGACCTGCTGAGCTTTTCCAGCAACTTCTGTTTTTGTTTTGAATTAACAGCATCTGGAGTTCTTTGTTTTTTATTCTGTTTAAAAGATTAACTGTCTTTAACATGGTCACGAAAAAGAACTTTGTTTTTTTTAACAACAGATTGATTACTTGACAGGATTTTTTTTACATGACAGGGTGTTTATTTTTCAATATCAAATGTGTATAAATGACAATGAATTAGACTGTTAGAAGGTCTCTTTCTTATCACCATATAGTTCCTGAAGTCTGCCTGTGGTGGATGATAGGAAATTGGCTATTGAGATGTCATGAGGGTATGATGTGGCCTGCAAGAGGTATGAGTTGAAATGGAGATGGTGTGGAAGGGCATGAGGAAGCCTGAGTTGGCAGGGGGATATGACTGAGCATGGAGAGTAGGAGGGGGGCTGAGGAGGTGTGAGGAATAGAGAAACATATAAAACAAGTGCAGGAGTAGGCCATTCTGCCCATTGAGCCTGCACCACCATTCAATATGATTGTGGCTGATCATGCAATCTCAGTATCCCACTCTCACTTTCTCTCCATATCCCTTGATCCATTTAGCCACAAGGGTCACGTTCAGCATCTTCTTGGATGTATCTAATGAACTGACTCTAACAGCTTCCTGTGGAAGAGAATTCGACAGGTTCACAACTCTCGGAATGAAGAATTTCCTCCTCATCTCAGTCCTGAATGGCATTACTCCTTATTCTTAGACTGTGACCCCTAGTTCTGGACTTCCCCAACATTGGGAACATTCTTCCCACATTTAGCCTGTCCAGTCCCATCAGGATTTTATGTGTTTCTATGAGATCCCCCCTCATTCTTCCAAATTCTAGCAAGTACAAGCCTAGTTGATACAGTCTTTCCTCATATGTCAGTCCTACCATCCTGGAAATCGTTTTGCTTGACTTTCTCAATAGCAAGAATGTCCTTCCTCAGATTAGGAGACCAAAACTACACAGAATACTCAAGGTGTGGCCTCACTAAGGCCCTGTATAACTACAACAAGACATCCTTAATCCGATACTCAAGTCCTCTCACTATGAAGGCCAGCATGCCATTAACTTTCCTCACTGCCTGCTGCACCTGCATGCTAGCCTTCAAAGACTGTTCCACCATGACACCCAGGTCTCGTTGCACCTCACCTTTTCCTAAACTGCCACCATTCAGATAATAATCTGCTTTCCTGTTTTCAGTGTATCAAAGTAGATAACCTCACATTTATCCACATTATGTTGCATTTGCCAAGTATTTGCCCACTCAGCCAGTCTGTCTGAGTCACCCTACAGCCTCTTAGAATCCTCCTCACACAGACACTGCCACCCAGCTTGGTGTTGTCTGCAAATTTGGAGATATTGCATTCAATTCCTTCGTCCAAATCATTAATGTATATTGTGAATATCTGGGGTCCTAGCACTAAGCCCTGCGGTACCCCACTTGTCACTGCCTGCCACTCTGAAAAGGACCTGTTTATTCCAAATTTCTGCTTCCTGTCTGCCAACCAGTTCTCTATCCATATCAATACATTACCTCCAATACCATTAGCTTTAATTTTCCTTACTAGTCTCTTGTGTGGAACCTTGTCAACAGCCTCTTGAAAGTCCAGATGCGCAACATCTATTGATTCACCCTTGTCTGCTCTACTGGTCACATTCTCAAAAAATTTCAGAAGATTTGTCAAGCAGATATTCCTTTAATTGACTAGGACTGATTCTGTCACTGCTTTCCAAACGCTCAGTCATTACATCCTTAATAATTAATTCCAGTATTTCCCCACCACTGATGTCAGGCTAACCGGCCTATAATTCCCCAATTTCTCTCTTCCTCCATTTTTGGAGAGTGAGATTACATTAGCTACCCTCCAGTCCATTGGAACTCTTCCAGAGACTACAGAATGCTAGAAACTGATCACCAAAGCATCATTATTTCTCGGGGCCTTCCTTAAGTACTCTGGGATGCAGAGCATCAGGCCCTGGGAACTTACTGGGTTTTAATCCCATCAATTTCCCCAATAACATTTCCTGACTAATAAGGATTTCCTTCAGTTCCTCCTTCATGCTTGACCCTCCGTCCCGTAGCATTTTCTGAAGCTTTTTGTGTCCTCCTTAGTAAAGACAGATCCAAAGTATTTGTTCAACTGGCTTGCCATCTCTTTGTTGTCCATTTTGAATTCACCTGATTCTAACTGCAAGGGACCTACGTTTGTCTTCACCAGTCTTTTTCTCTTCACATATTGATAGAACTTTTGCAGTCAGCTTTTGATGTTTTCTGAAAGCTTACTGTCATATTCTATTTGTCCCCTTCCAAATTAAACCCTTTGTCCTCCACTGCTGAATTTTAAATTTCTCCCAGTCATCAGGTTTGCTGCTTTTTTCTGGCCAATTTATATACCTCCTCTTTGGCTTTAACACTATCCTTAATTTCACTTGTTAGCCAAGATTGAGCCACCTTCCCTGTTTTACTCTTATGCAAGATAGGGATGTACAATTGTTGAAGTTCCTCCATGTGTTCTTTAAATATCTACTGTCAACCCCCTAAGTATCCTTGGCCAGCTTATCCTAGCCAATCCATGCCTCATACCATCAAAGTTAGCTTTCTTTAAGTTCAGGACCCTAGTTTCAGACATAATCGTGTCAATCTACATCTTAATGAAGAATTCTACCATATTACGGTCACTCATCCCCAAAGGATCTCGCACCACAAAGTTGCTAATTAATCCTCTCTCATTACACAATACCCAGACTAGGATGGCCTATGCTCTAGTTGGTTCCTTAACATATTGGTTGAGGAAACCATCCCTCATACATTCCCAGAAATCCTCCTCCAATGCTACCAATTTGCTACCAATATGTAGATTGAAGTCACCCATAATAACTGCTGTACCCTTACCGCGTGCATCTCTAATTTCCTGTGTGAGACAATCCCCAACCTCACAACTACTGTTTGGTGGTCTGTACACAACTTCCACTAATGTCTTTCTCCCTTTGGTGTTCTGCAGCTCCACTCATACAGACTCCACATCGTCCAGGCTAATGTCCTCCCTTAATATTGTGTAAATTGCCTCCTTAACCAGCAACGCTACCACCTCCCTTTCCTTTCTGTCTACCTTTCCTGAAAATTGAATAATTCTGGACATTGAGTTTCCATCCTTGGTCACCCTGGAGCCAGGTCTCTATGATCCTAATTACATCATATCCATTCATAACTGTCTGTGCAGTTAATTCACCCACCTTATTACAAATGCTCCTTACATTAAGACAAAGAGCCTTCGGCTCATTTTTTTTTTGACATTTATTGCCCTTTTAGAATCGTGGTGTGATGTGGCCCTTTTTGATTTTTGTCTTTGGTTTCTCTGCCTTCGACTTTCACTTTTTCCCTTACTGTCTCTTGTTTCTGTCCCCACTTTACTTCCCTCCTACTTCCTGCCTGTTTCCCATCCCCGTGCCATATTAGTTTAAACCCGCCCCAACAGCACTACCAAACAGTCCCCTTCAGACATTGGTACCAGTCCTGCCCAGGTGCAGGCCGTCCAGTTTATACTGGTCCCACCTCCCCAAGAAATGGTGCCAGTGTCCCAGTGTCCCTCCCACTTGCACTATCCTTCAAGCCATGTATTCATCTTAGCTGTCCTGCTATGCCTATTTTGACTAGCACGTGGCACTGATAGCAATCTTGAGATTACTACCTTTGAGGTCCTACTTTTTAGTTTAACTTCACACTCCCTAAATTCAACTTGTAGGACCTCATCCCATTTATTACATATGTCATTGGTGCCTATATGCACCATGACATGGCTGTACACCCTCCCCCTCCAAAATGTCCTGCAGCTGCTCAATGACATCCTTGATTCTTGCACCAGGGAGGCAACATACCATCCTCGACTCTTGTTCGCAGCCACAGAAATGCCTATCTATTCCGTTTACAATTGAATCCCCTATCACTATTGCTTCATCCCCTAATCCCCTATCTGCCACTGTTTTTCCTGGCCTGCTGTGCAGCAGAGCTAGCCACAGTGCCATGAACCTGGCTGCTGCCTCCTTACCCTGGTGAGCCATCTCCTCCAACAGTATCCAAAACAGTATACCTGTTTTGGAGGGACATGACTACAGAGCCTCAAAACAAGGCGGCCTCAAAAGCTACCCTGATGAAGAGCCACAGACTGAGCCAGGGCTTCTAACCAGCTGCCTCAGCACTCATTTGTTCCCATGGCCACAACCAATCTGCTTCTAGTCAGCCTGACTCTATCCCAAGCCTACCTCCCTGGTACGAAATGTGAGTTTAATGATGCCCTTTAAAATGAGACATATCTGCCAAGATGGAAAATATACCAATTCAAGCTACGTTTATTAGGAGCAAAGATTTGCCCTGAATTAGTGTTTTGCAGACTGGTAATGTTCCCGTATTTACAGATGAAAGTCAACATATGTCAGATTATAAACTCCTGTTGCTGCTACAATTTGGACCTGCATCGCAACAATGGATAAGAATTATACCAAGATAAATACTTCCTACTCACATTATACAGTTGAGAAAAATTAATTTAAAACAATAGGCTCTTTCTATAGGAATTCTAGAATGGAACTCGGGAGCTGCAGAAGAGGTATAGCCCAAGAACAGAAGAGTAAAGGCTAAGCAACATTTTCCTTGAGAACAGTTGGAAGTTGAGATTGGTGTCTTTTGGTGGTAGAGAAGGAAGAGTGGACCAAGATTAAGTGAATGCCAAGGGAAAAAGTAAAGTGTAAGCAATGATTTTAGGTGGGAATGGATTCCATGGAATGTAAGGGGTAGAGAGGAGAAACCGGGATACTATAATAAACTGCTGGAGATACAGCATTAACTGGGGTGTGTGATGTTGGTATTAGTGGGGGGTGAGGGGGGTTGGGGAAGCTTGGAAATAGGTTAGAACTAACATCAACTGTGGAGAGCTTGGACTTCACTACCAATTGATTGAATAGGAAAAAAGAAGATCAATTTGTGCAGTGTAAGCAATTCTGGTCATCAATTGTGTCTTGGATGTTCATGTACATAGGTACTGTACCCAGCTACTTGAATTTGATCTTAAGGTTTCCAAGATGAGGGGCATCTGGTTTCACTATGGAGCATCAAGATGGCTGAGAGTTTCCTGGACAACACACTTAAGGTGGGGATCACTCCACAGGCAAAGAGAGTTCAGAATAGTAGTTGGATTGTCATCCAGAACTGTAGGAAGAGACAGAAATGCAGGAATCTTTGGAGTGAGTACAATTTCTCAAGCTGGTAGCTACAGATTCCTAGGAGTAATGACACTGGAAAACATATAGTCCAGGCCATGGCACCAATGGGCAAGGAACTGCACAGTGAGGAACATCAAGCATACAAATATAGTTGTTATAGGAGATTCTATTGTTGGAGAAACAGACATTTCTATAACTGTCAAAGTGAGTCCGACATGGTCTATTGCATCCCTGGTGCCAGGGTGAAGGACGTCATAGAGGAGTTGCAGATATGATGCAGTGGTGAGTCTGTCAGTCAGATATTGTGGTATACATTGGTACAATCAGCATAGAAAAATCAGACATTGGAATCCTGCAATCAGAATGGCTAGTTTGCAATGCAGAGTGTGCGTTCAATTCCCACACTGACTGGAGGTCACCATGAAGAACTCTCCTTTTCAACCTGCCCTCGCCTGAGCTGCGGGTGGGCCTCAGATTAAATCTCTGTAATGAGAGGGCAGCTCTAGGTCTGGTAAGACAATGGCAAAGAGTACAAAAGCAAGGAAATTATCTTAAACCTGTGTAAAACATTGGTTTGTTCTCAACCAACGTATTGCACCCAGTTCTGGGAACCACACTTTAAGAAGAATACTAAAGCACAAGATAAGATGCAAAAAAAAAAACCCAGGAATGGTTTCAGAAATGCAAGACTTCAATTACACAGGTAAATTGGAGATTTGGACGACTGAGAATCAGAGGACACAGATTTAAAGTAATTGCCAAAAGAAGCAACGACAATATGAGACAATGTAAGGAATCACTGCCTGAGAGTGTGGTGGAACAGGGTCAATTCAGCTTTTCAGTGGGGAGTTAGATTATTATCTGAAAAGAAATAATGTGTAGGGCTATATGGAGAAGACTGGGGAATAGAAGGTCAATTGCTCCTTCAGACAGCCAGAACAGACATGACAGGCCAAATGGCCTTCTGCATTGTAAGGCTTTCTGTGCTGTAACATTTCAATGGGTCTAGGATGGAATTTCAAAGTTACTAATCAAGGTGTAACCATGTCACCCACTAGAGAGAATAAAGATACGAAAATAGGGAGAATCTTTGTAAGACTTTGGGCATGCTGCAGGAGGGAGGGTTTCAGATTCTTGGACAATTGGGACCAGTTTTAGGGCAGGTGGTATCTATTCAAATAAGGGATGAGTTGAGCCTCTACAGGATTGATACCAAAGTTCTTGCAGAGTGGTTCACTGGTGTGATTAGGAATAATTTGAATTAAGTGGAGAGGATTGAGGGAGGTACCACCTTAAAGTAGTACATGGAATAAAGTGAAATAAAAACGAGAGTGTCCATCAAGCATTAACAGTCAGCCTTATTTCTCTATTTGTCAGGAGAATGCAACTCGGGAAATTGAGGAACGGAAGAGGCAACAAAGAGAGAAGGAAATGGTAGAGAAGCGGCATTCGGTAGCTACTTGTTCCTCTATCGAAATCGAACTTGGTCAAGATGATCTAGAGATATCACTTGCTAGAAAACTACAAAGTTACAGCATGAAGCGATGGGAGCGCAGATCTTTTAAGCCTAACTCTCTCTCTCAAGAACATTGCGCAGAGAAAACATACCCTTCAGAGGTAGAACGAGACTGTGATACAAATGATTTAAATAGTGACTTCAGTGAAAAGGAACAGGCAAATCTCATGCGAAATGTGTCCGAAAAGGTTCTGAAGCAACAGCTGGGTCACTGTATTATGCAGGTAGGATATCCCATTCTAAAAGAAGGGGTAAATATTCTCAACCAGGAAGCTGAGACTATCAAAGAAACAGCAAAACCCACACAATTACTTGAAAAATCCCAACAAAGTCTTCCACTTATCAAAGAATATCCAAAATTGATTCATACAGCTGAATGCAGAACTCCAAACAAAAGCCTAAAGTCCTCTGAAAATTTTCCATTGAAGAAATCACATCCTAGTCACTGCTCAAAATGGAAGAGAGAGGAGCAAAGGGGGGAACAAAATGCAGCTTCAAAGAGGAAACAATTTAACCAATCTTCTCCAACTTCTAAAAAGACTTTTGGTGTTGGAGAGACCAGAGTTGATCAGAAGAATCAATTTGCCAAGAAACCTACTGTGGAGTTAAGCAAAGTTGAAAGCAGGAACTTAATTACTAACAGAAAAAGCAAAATAAGCAGCATCTCTTCAAAGATCCAGCCAATTCAACCTCTGAAAGGCCAGAGAACAGCACCATCTTTACATAAAGCACATACATCTGAGAAACCTCTCTCTCCCTCACCAACTTTAATACATAGGAATTTGCTAAGTCCAGTAAAAAGGAAATCTATCACATCAGGTATTAAACAAATAGCTAAAGTAAAGGAGATAAAAGAGACTCCCATGGTACCTGAACAGGCAACAAAAGCTGGCAGAAAATCTATCCAAAATCAAAAACTGAAGTGCAGCTCATCTCAGTCAACATTTACTATAACGTCTACAGTCAGCAGCCCCAAGAGTTTAAGCAAATCAGACATGGTGACATCAGGCTCCAGGATTCCTTATGCCAAACAATCTCTGCAACAAAAAAAGCTAAACCCTGGGACAGACACTATGGTAAAGCACCAAACTGATTCCCTCATAAGCAAAGGTGTGAGTCAACGCTCCAGGTCTCTAAAACTGAACAGACAACCAGTGTGGCGATGATACTAGCAGGCAACTTGTTTGGCAATAATATTCTACAGTGTTGAGACCCAATGGATACGCAGGTTCTTCTAATCAGTCCAATTATCTGGAATAACATTTTCTGCCAAAATATTTTTACTGGATATAAAGGATATTTGTGATGTTTGTCACGAGATTTTGTGCAATGTTGTTTGTAACTAGATTTAATGAAGAAAAGAAATAAAATAAAAGCGAGTCATTAAAATGATATGTTATTCAAAAGAACACAAAAAAAGGAAAGGTCTTTTTTAGAAACTGTGAACAAGTCTTTTATTCATTTCCTTTTGCTTTGTACAGAATCAGGATTGAGTAAATATTTTTCTAATCTTAGAATAACAGGTTAAATGTGTTTAAATGGTTTAGCCGGAAAGGAAATGTTGTTTGGGTTGAGCATGTGGAAGTGAGTCTGACTGGCACTTCCTGTTTTCATTTAAAATTTTGACTCTCAGGATTCAACTGTTGGTCTAATAGCTTTGTAAGCTTGTAACTCTGAAATTAACCACAACAAAGTATAAACATTTCAATAATTGTTGGATCATCAAGTCACACAGTTTAAACTTGATGCAACTTTAAGCATAAACAGTTCTCTATTTCTGCAACATTTCTTGACATTACCAATTTTAAATGTTGAATTCTTTAATAACAGAGATGAATGCACAAGTGCTTCAAAAAACATTGCAGTGGAATTCAAAATGAGCTTTATCCACCAAGTTTTAGCACTGAATTCACAACAATCCACACGACGGTAACCTGTATACTCCACATATTGCTGTTACAAGCTGCTATCACAGCTAGGATCGAGCTGTAGAATAAAAACAGAAAAGACAGGAAGTATTTTGCAAACAATGCAGCATTTGTGGAGAGAAAAATAAAATTAATGCTTCAGGTCTGTGGCAGTTCATCAGAAAGTCAGAACTTGATCTGTTCTGATGGAAATTATAGGCAACAATACATCAATGTAGCAATAAGTCAACTATTTAATGCAAAATGTAATAATAATAAAATTTCATATGCTTTTACTCAAGAACAACTTCTTAAAATTTTCTTTATTCCAAGAATTCACTAAATTAGCATTGTTTGCTGGAATACTGGGAAGACCAGAGAATTTGTTTAAGACATTATAGCACATATAATATGCTATGGAATTTTCAAGTAGAAAATAAAAAATAAAATTCCTGCTGGACACAGAATAAAATGATACTATATGTGTGAGCTAATTGAAAAGAGCCTTCATTTTTGCTGGGATTGGAGAAAGGGTCCTTGGAAGAAGGGAAGGCTCCTTGGAAGAATCTAAGACTCTTCGGAAGAAGGGTGCTGAAGTGATGGTGCAAGTTAAATGGCATCCACTATATGCTGACTCTTGTGTGCATAGTCAGACTTTTGACATGGAAATTCAAAACATCTCTAAAACCTAGAGAAGCACTTTAAAAGAATTTCAGAAAAAAATTGTATTAAGAATTAATGTTTTATTACCCAAATTTAAAAATCAGTTTTTACGGATAACCTATCAATCAGTCCTTACACGTGCTTTTATCTTTAATGGGTGTTCTATAGCATGTACAGGGTACCACTCAGAATGATAACAGAGAGGTTCACTTGAGCAGATGTTTTTGAAGTAAGGTGGACATTTAAGGTGAGGGGTGAAGTTTTTGAAAGAAATTATTGCTATGGATCCTTATGAGGAACCATAAACCAAAATAATTGCATTTAGCAAGTGACCCTCCAAGTGAAAACATGATCAACAAGGTTACTTTTTGCAACTTAATCTTTAACATAAATCAGAACCAAAGCAAACTAATTGATAGTTTAAATCAAGAGGTAAATTTCTCTTTAAATAGTTGATGATAACAAAGATACATCTGACACAACCGTAAGAATTCCTTTTCGCATGTTCAGCATTATGTTCTACCCAGTTCCATAATGTGTTTTATTTGTGCAGCATAGGTCAGGAGTCCTATCTGAAAATAGCTTTCAGGCCTCAATTCCACAGAACAATCATCATTAGCAAGAGACACTTCTATAAATCCCGTGTTCTGTGGGTCTCTAGCGTTCCTTTTCACCAATCAACTAATAACATCTAGGTATGACATCTTATGGTAAAATATCTAGCTCTTTAGTTCACCACACTGGAGCCTTCCAGGTTTTAAATATTTTTAGACTGAATGCTGACTATCTTCTATCTGCAGATCTTCTGCTTATCGAGAAGCCAAAAGGAAAGTCAACTTCTTTCCTGTTGGTACAATTTGTAAATCAAGAATCACTAGGTCACATGGACCAATATTTATTATATTATCAAAAGAAATTAAAATTGATATGTTTACAATTGATGCAAACTCTTGTAAGTCCTTTTTAAATGTTACTTTAAAACAATGAAAGATTCCATAGATGTTTTCTCTAAAAATATCTTTTCTGGAAACTTTCTGGGTCAAAGATCATCACAGATATTTAGTCAACGCTGAATGGATTAAATTTATATACATCAATAAATTGTCATAAAACACTGTGAACATCTCTGAACTAAGCCATTAACATTAATCTAGTGTTTATTTTACTGTTGCAGATGATTAACACCCTCCTAACCCTCACCCTATCGCAGATGACACAACGATAAGACCTTAAGTAAAGGAATAAACAGGGTGAACAACTGTCATAGATTTTATTGGGACCATCTTGTTTTTGAAAGAGTTGCCCAGCAGTCACCCCCACCTATGTTCCTACAGGCTCAGGGCAACATGCCCTGTCCTGACTCTTAGAGATCAGCATGCCAAAGTGTCTCCAACACTTTTCTGCTGAAGTTGGTCAACCTGAAAGCAAACAGTATTCTCTGTTACAGTAATCAGAAGTACCACATCAATCCTCATTGACTTTTCAACAACGTTTAACATGATTAACACACCATTATCCTCCAATGCCTCCTTTTTTTGACCAGCTCCACAGGGGCTGCCCTTACTTGGTTCCACTTTTATCTATCTGATAGAAACTAGGGCATCTGACTTCTCTTCGGATCCCTACACTGTTAATTCCAGAGTCCTAAGGATTGATCCTTAGCCAATTCACTTCCAATGTTACATATTGGCCCTTGGCAACTTGATCCACAGACAATGATGAGTTCAACATGTATACAAGTGATAGTTAACTGCAACAACCCATCACTTTTCTTGACCCTATCATTACCTGCGTTCTGAGGAAGGGTCACCGGACCCAAAATGTCAACGCTGTTTTTTCCTTCACAGATCCTGCCAGGCTTTTCCAGCAACTTTGTTTTTGTTCCTGATTTATAACATCTGCAGTTCTTTCGGTTTTTATTACCTGCATGTTGTCAGACTGCTCCTCCACTAGAGATGAGCTATTTTTTGCTCCAGCCTAACAAACAGAAGACTCCCCTATTGCAAATTCATTGCCTTTGCCACTGTTTGCATCTAACCCAGATTGCTTGCAACTTTTGAATTGTATGCAACCCTGAGCCAAACTTTAAAAACCATATCCACTCGATGTTAAGCAATGCTGATCCCATCTCCATAATGCTACTCACCTCTATTCCACTTCAGCCAATATAAAAATGTATTTAAAAAACAGAAAGAACTGCAGATGTTGGATATCAGAAACAAAACAAAAATTGCTGGTAAAGCACAGTAAGTCTGGCAGTATCTGTGGAGAGAAAGCAGAATTAACATGTCGTGTCCATGAATCTTCTTCAGAACTGATGGTAACTAGGAAAATGTTTTTTATGCAGAAGATAGGGTAGGGGGAGTAGTAAACAATAGGTGGAGATAGAGCCCACAGAGAGAGAAAAATGGTTGGCAAAGGCAAAGGAATGGGTGAAGGTCAGCCTGGGACAATGACTAGCTGCTAATACGGACTATTAGTAGCTGACAATGGGTTCTGTGCAGTAGCAGCCCATATGATGACAACGCCTGGTGACTGGATGTTGAGGTAAGAACTTGGGAGGAGGTGCTCAGGCCCTAAAATTATTCAGTTCAATACTGAGTCCTGACAGCTGCAGGATACCCAAGTGGAAAATGAAGCACTGTTCTTCCAGTTTGCACTGAGCTTTGCTGGAGCACTGCAAGAAACCTGAGTCCAAGATGTTGGCCAGAGAACACAGTGGTGTGTTGAAGTGGCAGGCAACTGGAAGCTCAAGGTCATTTTTGCAGTCAAAACGTAAGTGTTCTACTAAGTGGTCACCCAGTCTGCATTTCATTTCCCCGATGTAGAGGAGATCACATTATGAGCAGTGAATACAATCAATTAGATTGTGTGAAGTGCAGGCAAAGTGCTGCTTTACCTGGAAGGTGTGTTTGTTGCCCTGGATTTTGAAGAGGAAGGAAGTAAACGGGCAGGTGTTACACCTTCAGCAATTGCAGGGGAAGGTGTTGTGGGGGTGTGGGGCTGTGTTGGGAGTGAAGGAAGCTGGACCAGGGTGACCCAGAGGGAACAGTCCCTGCGGAAGGCTGACCGAGGAGGGGAGGGGAATATGTGTCTGGTGGTGGCATCCCGCTGAAGATGGATGTCCAACTAATGATCCTTTGGATGTGGATGCTGGTGGGAGGGAAGAGAAAGTATGAGGGTCAAAGTGTGGGAGATGGGTCAGTCTAGCTGAGGGCCCTGTCAACCATGGTGCTGGGGAAACCTTGGTCGAGGAAGAAAGCGGACGATTTGGAAGCTCTCTTGTCAAAGCTGCCATCATTAGAACAGATGTGACAGAGAAGGAGAACTGAGAGAATGAAATAGAGTCTTTATAGTGGGTTTGTACTGGATATTAGGGGCCAGCCTATCCCCAGAAATGGAAACAGAGATGTCGAGGTAGGGGAGGGAGAAGTCGGAAATGGACCAGGTTGAAGTGAGAGCGGGATGGAAATTGGAAGCAAAATAGATAAAATTTTCCAATTCTGATGAAAGAGGGAAACAGTGCTGATGATGTCATTGATATCTATTATAAAGTGGAGGTTGATTTCCGCTCCCCCCACCACCGATTAACTAAAACCAAAACACCCAGAGAGGCGCGCCATGCCCTATAATCTATTATAAGAGCCCCCAACCTGTTATAAAGGAATGGTTAAATAAAAAATAAACCTCTGACACTCTCCTTATAATCAACTAGTAACAATTTATTTATCTAACTCTAATAGTGAACAAACTAACTAAACTATTAACAAACTGAATAAACCCCTTCTAACTACCAACTATTCTGGAATAAAACAAGATTATAATGGTATGCTGTTCTAATAAATACAAGTCTCATTTACATAAAA